CCCTGGCTCCAGGAATGCACCTGACTCTTTCACATTATCTTAAGATAAAGGAGGTACATTCCAGCCAGAAGGGAGTCACTCTCATCTTAACTCATTAATTTGCCCCTCTTTCTGACCCATGCTGCAGGGACCCAGCTAGTGTTGCTGCCATCCAGGACCAGGCTGCTGCTAGTAAGACCCCGGTAAACTGCACTCTTGCAATCTTGAATCCATCTGCCTCTCTTTCGCTGGCCTTACAGCAGCTTGAGACTAGTTCTCACACACCATGACTAGGTTGTTTCAGAACAAGGGTCTTCACACAAACCGGCAGAGATGTGCAACAAGAGTAACAGAGGAGGTCCCATAGGTTTCCCTTACTCGTACTTTGAGATTGGTGGCTTCTGGAACAAAGAAGCCTCCTCCCAGTACTTTCATCTAATTGCTCCAGGCAAGAGGCAGTGCCTTGGTGTTACTTCTACTGCTTTGCAGTCTGACTTTCTGAGAGTCAAGATGGTTCACAGAGAGGAACACTTGCTCCTCATGCGTTTTTGTTTGTTTAAAGACAAAACGATATTCATTAAAATTTGAATCTGAAGCCAACATTTCATTATCCCTTGAAAGATGGACCTGGGGGATCTCTGGGTTTTCATCTGTCCTGGGGATAAGGCTGTGGCAAAACACACAAGTAGGACAATCAGCTGGAGATTGCTGGGTATGTGGAAAACCAAGGGACAGACAGGTTCAGCAGGCATAGAACTGGGCACACATGCCTGATGCTTTCAAAATAACACACTTTCCATGGTGCACACCTGTAATCCCAGCACTAGGGAGGCTGAGGCAGGAGGATCGATGTGAGTTCGAGAGCAGGCTGGGCTACATAGTGAGTTCCAGGTCAGTCTCAACTACATAGTGAGACCGTGTCTCAACAAACAAACAAACAAACACAAAAGACAAACAACTCCCCGGTGTTCACTCTACTGCTCAAACCCTTAACGGCTCCAATCCAGTGGTTCTCAATCCTATCCGCACACTGGAAGCTCTCGAAGGGCTTTGAGAAATGCCTCTAGTGCCAGCCATCATTCCCTCCTCTCCTTATAAGATGGGCCTGAAGAGGTGGGAATGATGTTTGTTTGCTGGTTTTGAACTTTGTGTTCAGAAATAATCTCAAACTTAGGATAAGTGCAATGAAAAATAACAGCACAAAGAACATCACATAACCTTTACTTAGAATCACCTCACTTTTTAAAGCATTTGACTTGTGTAACATTCTATTTCTACATTTTATTATAAAATAAACTGATTTGTATGGCATCTTTCTTCCTTAAAAAGCACACATCAATGAGCATTTCCTAAGGATAATGATATTTTCTTGGATACCTACAGTATATGTGGCGTGATTAAAATGTATGATAAAAAATGAAATATGATGAATGTTTAAATAAAAATAAATTACAGTAAAAGACACATATCAATCCCCCCTCAAAATGCTCTCCTTCATTTCCAACTCATTTATGCTACTGCTCCTGTCACTTTTTGAAGCATTGCTAGAAGTCCTTTCATAAGTATCTTTTTGAGGTATGATAAAAAACAGTGAATGCTGCTGCTGAGTGCCATCCAACGGAAAGATAGCCTCATAAAAACATTACAATGTATCCTCATTCATCTTATTTACTGGATCTGGCATTGTGAGACTTCTGACTCTTTCCCCAAAGTCAAAATGACTATAAAAGGTAAAGATTTTAAAATGATTTAGGACATCAAGGCAGCTATGAAAAGATATTCACAAATGGGCTGGGGATTTAGCTCAGCGGTTTGGTGGCCTGCCTTGCAAGCACAAGGACCCGAGTTCAATCCCCTGTACCAAACAAACAAACAAACAAACAAAAAGATATTCACAAATGAGGCCTCAAAAAGTGGCAAGAATCATGGGATAACTGTGTTTGAAGTGAGGGGGACTATTATAAAGGGATTCGTGGCAATGTGTCCTTTATTGTAAGACATGTTTTAAATGTTAAACATTCACTATATTGTTTAATCACAACTCATATTGTTTGCCTGGTAGTTGTAAAATATTATGAATAAAATTAAGGAGTTTAAGAGATGTACTATATGCAAATCAACTATAATAATTAAAGATAAGCATCTAAAATCTTAACTAAATCTTTTGGAAGAAATTTTTAATTGAATTTAACAAGCATACTAAGTATATAATACATATGAGGCATATATACAAATGACTGGAGAAACAAATGAACAAGAAAAAGTAATCGATGCATAATTGAATAATTAGCACAATTTTAACCACAAGAAAGTGAAAATTTTCAAAGGCTTTTCTTAGAAGTAAGCCTTTTAACAGGACTTAAAAGATAAGATGGACCCAACTTTTAGAGATGAAGACATTTCAGGAGAGGAAACAGAGGGAAAATAGAAGGATGAATGTGTATTTATAATAGCTAAGATATGGAATCAACCTCAGTGTCCACTAGATAGATAAATGGACAAAGAAAATGTGGTATCTATATGACTGAATATTACTTAGCCATTAAAAATGAAATCTCTTCACTGGTAGAATCAGATATGGAACTGGTCAAGTTATATGAAATAAATTAGACACAGAAAGATAAATACTGCATCTTGTCACATATATGTGGAAGCTAAAAAAGCTGATGTCAATGTGCTCTGGGAAAGTAACTGTCCAGGAGAATTTTAAACTATCATACAACAACAAGAACAAAATACACAAACAGTTCCCTTCCTTAGAGAAAGAGCAAGTAAAGGATGGACTTCTGCCAGGAGAAAAGTGAACCCAATGGAAACATTCTGGATTCAAGAAAAAGAGAACATAATAGTGAAGAGAGAAATTGATTGATAAAATCTCAGTAAATTTAATTAAAATTTTACCATAAAATTATTTTTAAACTAAAAAAATTAAAAATAAAATTCTAGGCAGCAATGACAGGATGGGAAATCAGTAGTGGAATATTGATTATTTTATTAATCTTATAGAGGGCATGAATGGAGAAAAAGGAAGCAAAGATAAAGAATGACAAATGAAAAAAAGACGGAAGAATAAGCTCAAATGTAGTAATTACAAGTGCACATGGATTAAACTGACTTATCAGAGACACGAGAAAAGCAAAACTCATGGAAAGATTAAATGTGCAGGTATGGAAAATATGTGTAATATGGAGCAGCAAATATGAGGCTTATCAATACCAAGTATTTCCATGGGGAATGGAAACTGCTGGGGAGGTTAAAGCAGGAGAATCCCAGGTTTAAGGCCACCCTGGGAAACTTCATGAGATGTTGTCCGAAAATAGAAAATAAAAAGGCTGGGGATATAACTCAGTGGTAGAGAAACCCTGAGTTAGATTTCTAATACCAAAAACCAAAATTCTAATTCAGGCAATTTACATGAGAAATGCTAGAGAGGTAATACATAATTAGAATCAATCATGATTTGCAATGGAAAATATGCTTTAAGAAACAAGAACCACCACCATGCACTAGGGATCATGTCTGCCTTTTATACTGATGCATCTTCAGTGTTAGACACATTTTATAAGTATGCCACAAGTATTAATAATGAAATTATTATAAGATGATCCACTTATGTGTTGGCATACCACAAGAGCTGGGGCTGTGTCTTACTAAATTTTATGCCATGAGTGGTTAACAATGCCTGGCATATAGTCTGTCTCTACAAATTCACACTGACTTCAAGGATGATTTTCTTTCATAGGATCTCCCTTACTTGCTCTTGCCCATAATGACATATCCTTTGTTTCTAGCTCTGTGGCACTCATCATTTGAAATATTCAACTTAGCAACTGATGATACAGCAATGTCTTTTAGTTCTCAATATCCAAACTTTGCCTTTCTGAAAATATCTGAAATTCTTCGGAGATGGAGAAAGTGCTTCATACTGTGCCAACGGCGTAATATTCTTGACTGGTGTCGCTATTTAAAATAGAAGAATAGGCTAGATCCACAGTGCCAGCCATACATGCCACATCTCCATTCCCTTTTGTCTAGTTCTTGACTAAAGAGATCACTGTTTGGAGATGGGCTCATGTGCAAAGAATCTGGATAAGTTAACGGGAGGAAGCATCTAGTAATGTTCTTTCCCAATGCTATGCTCCTTCTGGAAAAACAGGGAGAGGGATGTCTGCGATGCCATATGAAAGGCGTGGGAGAGGGGGAGAGAGAGTGTTTCAGCCACTCCTGGTCAGCGCTTGAACGGACCTGACCTTCCGCTGGCAGGCACGGTGTTCGGAGCAATGCGCTCATCTACAGACAAGGCACATGGGGACCTGTGAAGCTGCAGGCTCATATGCTGAGCGCTGTCCACATCTTTTTGCTAGGCTTCAGGAGGAAAAAATACACAGATTCAACCAGGTCCTGGGATGAAGCAGGGAGATGGGCTGGCTGACCTCCCAAGCTCTTTCTAACCCCAAGATTGTACAGCAGTCGCCCTTTTCCTCATTTACATTTCTCCACAAGTCTACAGCCAGTTTGATAGTAAGTCGCCCGGGCTGCCTTCCAGGGTTAGTACGGTGCCACACAAACTGCTGGCACTCAATAAATAACTCAAATATTTGTTGAAGGAAGGAATAAATGAAGCAAGTGTTTAAATAGAGCTCACGTGACCTCCTCAGCTGTAAAGTACGGCGTTGAATGAAGTCACAACATTCTAGGCACGATCGCTTGAGCAGAGCTGGCAGAGGAAAACACACACACACACACACACACACACACACACACACACAGATTCACATTCCTATCTTGGGAAAAGCACAGCCCACCTGCTCAACAAGCAGGCTACGCGCATTTCCTTGGCAAGGATCCTCTCCTTGCTGCTTCAGAACGGTTGGCCCCGAAAGGTCAAGTCTCCCCGGTTTCGGACTTCTTCCCTCCTGTTGGCTTACAAAACAAACTTTGTCCGGGGTTCGTGCCCGGCACCCCGGAGAGGCACTTCTGCCCTCCTTTCCCTGGCTCGCCGGCCGCAGCGTCTGCCTTACCTTGGTGAGCTGGGCGATCTTCTTGCACATTTTCACGTGCATCTCCGGATCGCAGCTCATTCTCCAGCCAGCGCTGGGGCTGGCATCGGCTTTGGAGCTCGGGCGAGTCCCGGGCGGGTGAATTTGGCTGTTGAGGGCAGATGCCATCGCTGCGAAGCGCCCAGCGCTCAGAGGCTCTGGCTCACGTCCTTCCCACCCACACTCCCCGTGTGCACGTGCGTGCGCGCGGGCGGGCGTGTGAGCGCGCGGGTTTTCTCTCGGGAGGTGGCACTGCAGTCCTCCTGGCCGCAAGACCGCGCGGCCCCTGCTT